CTGTTCACGGAGGGTACGGATAGTACGGACAGAACACCAGTCGAACTCGACGGAAGAACCAATTCTGTAAACACCAGATCCCAAGACCATGATACCCTTATCGTCGAAGACAACATCATGCTCAGACGCGTTGTAAGTAAGATACAGATAGTTCGTCACTGAGGGGAACTCAGCGGCAACGGTATCAATCTGCTTGACGATAGGAATAATGCCAGCTTCAACACGCATGCGGCGGACAGCGAGCTCGTTGGAGCTAAGGAACTTGGCAAGTTGACCGTCAGAGAAACCCAGCTGCTTGGCCTGTCGGATAAGAGGCCTGGGAACAGTAGTAGCATTATAAGTAGTCATAAGCTTGCCAAAGTCACTGAGACCCTTAAGTCTGCTAAGGAACCACTTATCGATCTGGGTCAATTTCCAGATGTCATCGACACTATATCCAGCGGCCATTGCGTTGGCGATGGCGAACAGGCGTTGATCAGAAGGAGTTTGCAGCTCGCCCTTGATGGACATAAGTGCGCTAGTCTCGTTGAAACCAAGATTGTGGAAATCAACGGAGCGAATAGCCTTTTGAATCGCTTCCTCGAAGGTTCGTCCAATGCTCATGACTTCACCAACACTCTTCATAGAGGAGCCAAGTTGAGTAGAGACACGAGTGAACTTCTTAAGATCCCAGCGGGGAATCTTGACCACACAGTAGTCCAGAGAAGGCTCGAAACAAGCGCAAGTGACCTTGGTAACAGAGTTCTTGATCTCATTCAGGGGAATGCCCAAACCAAGCTTGGCCGCGATGAAGGCAAGAGGATAACCAGTAGCCTTTGAAGCAAGAGCAGAGGATCTTGACAGACGGGCATTCACTTCGATGATACAGTACTCCTTCGAGAATGGGTTGAGTGCATACTGAATATTACACTCTCCAACAACACCAAGATGACGGATAACATTGACAGCGGTTGTGCGCAGCATGTTGTAGTCCTCATCAGAGAGAGTCTGTGACGGGGCAACAACAATGGAGTCACCAGTATGGATACCAAGAGGGTCGAAGTTCTCCATGTTACAGACGGTGATACAGTTGTCTCTGGCGTCACGGACAACCTCGTATTCAATTTCCTTCCAGCCCTTCATACTCTTCTCAATCAGAACCTGGGGACTGGCAGCAAAAGCCTTTGTGCAAAGGTCCTTCAATTCATCCATATTATTGGCGAAACCACTGCCCAGACCTCCGAGAGCGTAAGCAGCACGGACAATGACAGGGAATTTGATATCCTCCACGACTCGGAGGGCCTCCTCGAGGTTGGACGCTGAAGCAGACTTGGCACATTTCTCGTTAATCGAGTCCATGCTACGAGCAAAAAGTTCACGATCCTCGGTGGTAATGATAGTGTCAATTGGTGTACCCAGAACCTTGACACCGAGAGACTCAAACTCATCCTTGAGCTGGATACCGACTTGCAACGCAGTCTGGCCACCAAAAGTGACGTAGATGGCATCGGGCCGCTCGTGCTTGATGACCTTTCGCACAAAGTCCGCGTTCACGGGAAGGAAATACACCTTGTCTGCCAATCCCTTCGAGGTCTGAATGGTGGCAATATTCGGGTTAATCAGGATAGTGTAAATTCCCTCTTCCTTCAAGGCCTTAATAGCCTGACTTCCGGAGTAATCGAACTCTCCAGCTTGGCCAATGCTAAGACCGCCACTTCCAAGAATCAAAACCTTCCTGACAGAGACACGAGGAGATGCCTTGACGTTCTCTTCCACGGTGCCACCTGGGAAGGCAACTGGCTTGTTGATAGCTTCTGGGGAAGCCAGGGTATCCTGGATGCTGTTGATAAACACATCAAAGAGATACTCGGTATCTCTGGGACCAGGGGTGCTCTCAGGGTGGAATTGAACACTGAAGAACGGACGGCTGGTGTGCCGGATACCTTCATTGCTGCCATCGTTGGCATTCACGAACAGCTCTTCCCAGTTCTCAGGGAGGCTTGTGGAATCGACGGCATAACCGTGGTTCTGAGAAGTGATGTGGCACTTGCCGGTCACCATGCTGGTGCAAGGGATATTGTGACCACGGTTACCGAACTTCATCTTCGAGGTCTGAGCACCAACAGAGCGGGCAATCAACTGATGACCCAGACAGATACCGAACACCGGGGTCCGTGCCTCTTTAAGGGTCTTTGACAGGTTGTTGACAGTAGTGGTCAGTGTGGCAGGGTCACCAGGACCGTTAGAGACAAACAGACCATCGTAGTCCTTGCCGGCAAGAGTAGGGAAATCATAGTCCCAAGGGACGACCAAGACTTCAACGCCCCGAGCAAGCAGGCAGCGCAGCTGGTTGAATTTTAGACCAACGTCCAAGCACAGAACGCGAACCGGACGACCAGAAGGATGTTTAAGAGCAACATTCTCAGGAGGGGAGAAAAGACGTGGTTCCCGAATGGAGACTAATAAGAACCCAGTTAGATAAAGCTTGCTCATGAAAACGTCACCCCTAAGCGCATGACTTACCTTCGCTGACGAGGTTCTTCTTATTCGGGTCAACCCACTCAGTCTGCTCGAAGTACGACCTCCAGCTGTCCTTGTCCACTGGAGCCTCCTCCAATGTTTCATCGGACTTCTGGAGCAGCATGCGGCCAAGCATGCTACCCTTCTGACGGATGCGCTTTGTCAGAGCACGGGTGTCGACTCCGTGCATGGCAGGAACACCCTGTTCCTTCAGCCATTGTCCCAGGGAGGACTCGGCAAGGAAGTGTGAGTAGTCCTCTCCGGCGTAGGTGGCAACGACGAGTGCCGCAATGTGAATCTCAGTAGACTCAAAGTATTTTGGTAATGTCTTCAACAACTCGTCCATGGTCTCCCGAGAGGGAACACCATAGTTGCCCACCAGGGGGAAAGTGACAACCAGGATCTGGCCACGATAGGAGGGGTCAGTCACCGACTCCGGGTATCCTACCATGCCAGTCTGGAAAACCAGCTCTCCAGCCACGCTCTTCTCAGCGCCAAAGCTATAACCCTGGTAGACTGTGCCATCTTCGAGCTCGAGAGCGAACATCTTCCCACTGCCGCCACGCACTCGAGACGAGGCGGGGGGGATCACAGCGCCACTGGTAACATCCATTGAGGGAAGTGGTTGCAATTCCTTATTGATCTGGTTATAAGAAACAGCTCCTCCAGTTAAAGGACTCGAAGGGAGTGCGACCTCCTCGTGGCCGGCGGAGTGTGGCATTGGGGAAACTGTGTGGGGGTGGGCGTGGAGGGGAAAAAAGGTCCTCTCGGGGACAGTATGGCAAGGGTATTCACTCTACCGTAGCATCAGCAGCCTCCAAGACTCCTATAAAGAGATGAGAGAGCGGGAGGGAAAAGGGTCTTTTTTGCTGCTTCAGCACAGGAGGAGGAATATAGGAAGAGAAGAAAGAAATCTCGTCGACGGGGAAGGTCGTATAAAATAAAATTTTGTGTTCGGCGGGCTGAGGGAGCTTTCTCATTGGGCTAACCAGCTTACCGATCCGGAGATCACTGTGAATTCTGCCTTGGTAGACCGCCCGATTGAAAAATTTTTTACTGCATGCAAACTCTTTAGCCTTCTCTGCCCTTCCTTTGTTTGATAATGCCAATGCTTGTAATCAGGAGTAAACTGGTCAATTCTCGAGTAGTGATTTCTAAACTATATACCAAAAGATTTACTCTTAAACAAGACAACTAAAACAATGGGGGGTTGTTGTTTTAAAGTGACTCGACTAAGATTATACCCACTGGGCACAGGAATAGTAAATTAATCGAAAAAAAAAAATTTAATTGATGCGTTTAGGTAGGGTCGTGCGTGCGTACAATGCTGCAGTTTAAGTTGCTTCTTAGTAATAGCGAGGCCACCCCCAATTCCGGTTGCGGCCCTTTTGAACTCCGCGAGTCGGGAGGAGGGAAAAGCTCGGTTTTTCAACGCCACCACCGTGCACACAAGGCAAAATGGAGGGGTCTCGCCACCCCGATCGACAGAACGGCACTGCAGGCGGTGAGCAGCCTCCCTGTTTTTTCTTGCCCGCCAAGACGCTTCCATGGTCCGTGTTGCTGAAAGCTTCAACCCTATGGAATCCAATTAAATCCCATGACAGTACATCTCAACGACGGGAATTTTTTTTCTTTCTCGATTTGAAGCAGGTACATGCTCGGGAATCGGCTTCTACTGGATTTTGATTCATAACGCAAACTGGTTTTATGTCTTGTATTTATCACCTTTGTATTTATAGTCACGATTATTACCATAAATTCGCCCCCTTCGAGCAATTGATAAACACGCCACTATGTATGTGATTATGGTTACGTCAAAATGTCCCATCATATGGAGTACACAAGTAAATATATATATTCTTGCGCTTCTACGCAGTACTTGCATTTCTGAAGCAACCTCATCCATGGATCCTTTGCCTATTAAACTACGGAAGACATGAAATCTCATGATCCACTACTAAAACAATAGCATTCAAACATGAGTACTATAAGCTACCACTATTGATCAATCTAGATTTACACCGCGACCATATCGTATCCCGAGGTTAGCCACTCTCCTGCCGCGAAGATTTTGATAGGGTGTGCAACTGATCGGTTATCAACTTATGGGTCAGCTGGGAAAAAAAAAAGTTAAAGTAAGGGCACTAAAATTAAATCGCGTTGCGGCAAAAGTTTCTGGGATGCGCCGCGTCGTGAGAGCGATCTTTCCCCTCTCCACTACGACTACTAATCCTGCCATGCAGGCGCATGTGAACTGCGTCAATTGTCCCAGCAAATAATTGCCCTGGCTTGTTTTTGATCTCTACATCCCTTTCTGGTTGATCAGAAAATTGCCTCTTGGATCACGCGAACCTCCCTAGAGTGCTGATAAAACACCCCATGGCGTTATATCTTATCTAGTGCTAGGTTCGCGTCGTCGTTTCATCTTCCGTCTCCGGGATCATGCATTAACCACACCACCAGTTTCTTTCAAAATTGGGGAATACGGGGCTTTTCCCATCATGCTTGCTTCTCTTCTTCGCCCAAAGAAACGTCGAGTGTACGCAGAACGCTCTCCATTTTCGTCACCCTACACGACTCGGGATTTGCCATGGCCGTTCCTTCAGCGTGGCTCCGAAGCGCAGTATGAGGAGATACCGGGGAATGATGATGATGATGCTGATGAGGGTGTCGACGATGGCGAAGAGGATGAAAGCGGGGACGAAGACGATGGTCCTTTCGAGTCTAGTCCCCTTTTGCCTATCTTCTCAGCCTCTCACTTAGGTATTTATCATCTTATACTCCTGAACGAAGTAATCGTCTGAGATGTCTGACTGGTGGTCATTTGGTTATATATAGATACGCTCCCCGTTTACGATATCACCCATGCGATTCGCGCACTTATTGCAGCTCGCTGTGAGACCACGTTGTCCTGGGATCAGTTGCGGTCGCCGCAGATCTCTCAGTTTTTGGTAAAACCAATCCAGCAACAGATTAGAGCATTTCACTTTTCTCGGGCCACACTATATGCGCTGTTGACCAACTGTTTGCAATTCAACAAAGAAGTCCACCTTAACCCCGGCAATAGTGGCACAAGCCAGACCAGGGCCATGGTGAGTGAGCTTCTTGCCATAAAGTTGTTGAGAGAGTATACCACGAGAGAGTTGATCGATGCTCTCTCCTATGAGTTTTTTCCTCTCCAGGGCCAGTCGTTGCCCGGGAACTCCCAACAACCCCCGGGCTGGACCCCTGCTGCGGGGAACAAGCGGCCTGGGGTAGCCCGCATATCTTGCCTCGAGATAGCGATCCGTGCCCAGGCGAAGCGGTTCCTGTCTCACCCGCTTGTCGTACAACAGCTGGAGGCGATCTGGGCGGGCACCATCGTTTTCCATTCGGCTGCAGACTATCTTCACCGCTCACCGACACGAGTCGGTCATAGTGCAGGGCCAACGTATGGTACTACCGTTACTACTACTACCCCTTACCCGTTTGCCGGCCAGTTAAGCCCCAGATCGGCTGAGCTGCGTCGCTCAGTCACTCTCTATGACCCGAGAGATGCCTCCCTATTTAAACTCTCTAGGCTGAGGGTTCCTCGCTACAGACAGTTTCTCTCGACGCTGTCGTTTGCTGTATTACTGGCATTGTTCCTCGCAGTTCTAGACCAGCGACGTGTGCATATTACTGCCCTAGAGGTTGTCTTTTGGTTTTGGAGCGCAGGCTTCATGCTTGATGAGATTGTTGGTTTTAACGAACAGGGCTTCAGCCTGTATCTCATGAGCTTTTGGAACCTGTTCGACCTCGGTATATTGTTTCTTCTTTTCTGCTACTATTGCCTGCGGCTGTATGGTGCTTTCATGCCATTCACCCGTAAGCAAGCAGTCGCTGATCAGGCATATGATATCCTGGCTGCAAACGCTGTCCTCCTCTTCCCTCGACTTTTCTCGATCCTGGACCACTACCGATACTTCTCACAGTTGCTTATTGCGTTCAGGATCATGGCTTCCGACCTGGTAGCCGTATTTTTCTTGATTATAATTGCATGCAGTGGCTTCTTTGTCGCTTTTACATTGTCCTTCGGCAGTGGCGAAGATCGTTCGCCTGGATCCATAGCGTATGCCTTATTTCAGATGCTGATGGGGTTCACGCCGACTGCATGGGCACTCTGGAATGATTACAATACGCTGGGAAAGACAATATTGACTGTGTTCTTGTTCATCTGTCACTTTGTTGTGGTGACCATTCTAATCACTGTTCTCACTAACTCCTTCATGGGTATTGTGCAGAATGCCAACCAAGAACATCAGTTTTTGTTTGCTGTCAACACTATCTCCATGGTTAAGTCGGATGCACTATTCTCTTATGTGGCGCCGACTAACATTGTCGCTTGGTTAATAACACCTTTCCGTTATGTGATGCCCTTCAGACAGTTTGTACGCGTTAACCGTACAATTATCAAGATCACTCACCTGCCCATTCTATTTACCATCTGCTTCTACGAGAAAACGATCCTCAGCTCCAAAGTGATCGAGCCTACAGACCTGGTTGATTCTCAAACTCGTGCTGGTACATCGGCTCGCACACGTGCCTTCGGCATAGCCGCTTCAAGGCTTTCAGTTCTAAAGCCCCTCGACTTGTTCGGGAACCCTCTGTGGCAACGTATCAGAAGGATCGTGCGTTAGAAGAGGTCTTTCGACGCCCGTTTCACGGAGAGGCCATGGAGCCTGTAAGGGAGATGGATCAAAGAAAGACCAACAAAATCGTCAAAAATTGGATGCAAACCATTGGTCCTGGTCCGGGCAACCCTCCCGATGAGCAGGACTCAGACGAAGTCAGCCAGCTCGAAAAAAGACCCCAAAGGCTACGGCACCCTTCCCGCAGAAGACTCACCCGAAGTTTACGAGATTTCACCGTGTCAAGCCGCTCCGTTGTGTCAAATCCCGAAGATCACGTCGCTTATATTGCATCCTCACCAGCCACTCCCCGTGCCGGAAGGGGTTTTATGGCGTCGACGCGAAGACGGCAGCTTTCGCGACACACAGGCATGGAGGGGGATGATGAGCTCACTAGCGACGGCCATGAAGATCAGTCGAATGGAAAAAGCTCTGGCGATGAAGGTACCCCCCAAAACGAAAGCCCCGGTAAAGCAACGCCAAAGTTTTATAGCTCTCGGCCATCAACAGCGAAAGTCAAGTCGCGGAGAAACAGCCCCGTCCGGCGTGGTAAGCATCATTCACGGAGTTACTCAGGCGCCACCATGCTATACAGGCCCTTATCCACAACGAGCAATGGTGAAGAAACCGAAGCACCATCGACCCCTGTCAGACCCAGAGCAGAGACACCGAATCACGCAGATTGGATGGCTAGGTCTACTTCTGCTGACCGATGGGCAATGAGAAGGCACAGTACTGATGGTCGGAGTCGGAACGTTACTATGCCAATCTCGAATCCCATGTCTGTACCGGAATTCGGTCACTTTTTGGTTCCTGGTCCGCGATATAGGGAGCGCGGGCCAGATTCCATTCTCCATGGCTTAGGCTCTGACATAGGAGACAACAAGGCGATCGCGAATGGCTTTGTCGGAGGCGCTCCTTCAAGTCTGACTACCCAGATGGCATATGTGACGGGTGGTATGCGCCGGCCAGATAGCTCTCACAGTAGCCAGGATATGCTCAGCAAGCTCGTGCTCGCTCGCATGAACAATATTGAGGAAGGGTTCCGCGAAGTGATCAGAGAGATGAAAGATCTCCGGCGTGAAGGCACGAGTCGAAGTCAGAGTGGACCTGACGAGTCCAAAGGAAATCAGCGCGAGAAGAAGCGCACAGAGAAGAAGGGGAAAAAGGCTCATCCTAGGTCTCGAAGAAGCAAGACCGGTAGTGGAGAGCAGTCGTCAGATGCGACATCTGAGAGCTCGCAACGGAGGATTATAAGATAAGCGTTGGTTTTTAGAATTCGTTGTTTCACTTCTTGCGTTTCTATGCAATGCCTTTCTATTTTATATTTGTGGTGTATATTACTTTGCTCTCCAGCCCTGCTGTATAAAAATATTGGGTGGCTGTTTCATAGTTGGATTCAACTTGCAATTTTGATACCCGATGTTTCCCCATACACAATTGAGAAACCATCTGCCCACATGCACAGTGTTTTCTATGTAAACAGTAACCCTTTCCCAACTCTTTCCTCCCCAGCCCGGCGGTGCACTAACAATCTTTACCCCTGAGGCCCATATTCATCCGTCCTACATTTCAATGCGTTTCGTTCTTTCTCTAAGCCCATATGGATGCCGCGGTCATTTTTCCCAGAGAGATACCGCAAAGGCGGACCAAGCGCCTCCGACGACACCCATCACGGCCCGATCCTGGATCTAATCCAGACTATGAGTCTATACAGTTAGACTGGTATCAAGATGATAATGGAACAGAGACAAAAAGCAGAAAGACGTTCATATGGCCGGCGAAACATGGTAAATGGTAGAACCAACTCACTGCTAAATGTGGCGCCGTGTTTGCTATGGGATTGATAGGTGGTTATCCTAGAAATTACCTTTGCATTGTCGTTTCTGATGAATAAAGGGCTTTTGATGTGATATCGGTTTGAAATTATGCGGATCCTCAGGCACCTCAGAGAAACTCTATGTGGCATTGAACGGGGCTTAGATCATACAACGATCACATCTGCATAATTCCATACTCATCACCTTGACGTCAAAGAAGGATAGTGGCAGCCTTGAGGCTCTTCGTGACTCAGCCTCGATATGCCTTTGTTCTAAGATCCTAACCAGGCGCAAAAGCCTACTACGTTGAATTCACACTACTATATCTTTTTGATACTTGACCGTGAAGTCTTATCTCTTTACTTACATTGGACGAACGTTGGTGCTCATATCCTATCCATATTTTACATATAACCAAGTCTATCGTGGGAAATTGGAAAGGTATCTAGGCTACTCTATCTTGTGTTTCTCATGATTGTCTGACCTAGCTGGTGCTGCTAATATGGCCGGTTGTGATTTATTGGCTAACCCTCTCTCAATAGATATACTAAAAAGAAAATCTCAATCGACTCTTAATACGTCCCGGCTACCTTATTACCATACTAAAAGCTTCTCGAATCAACGCGTGTGAGCTCTGGGGAAGCATACAATAATGGATGGTTCTTCTGGGCTGTCAGCGGGCTCAAGCGCATATGTCCCAAGATTAGACATGGATCCTCCCACATCAAGCACAAATGTTGATAGTCCTTGCTCAAGGTTACTTCTCCTTGGCGATGCAGACACGCTGCTATATATTGATCCTCCCCCACAGAAACCATGCGCCTCAGTCTTGCCACGCTCACCTGGGTCCATCCCCCACCGTATCCATAGCCAGAAACTTCTGGATACTGGCTCTGATTACTTTAAGGACCTCTTCCAGCCAAGAGCTCAAGCTCGGGCCATCAGTCGCCGCGGACTCGAAGGCAAGCTTACAAATGGGATTAAATACGTTATTGATATCACTCCTCCTACGGTGGAAGACGATGCTGTCATATTTCTCACAGAGTTGTCGTGCCCTCTAGGGATCAGGAACTGGGACAACACTACCACAGCTTGGTGGGATTTAGCCCCTGCCCGCGTTGGTGGTGAAGATCAATTCGAACCACCAGAAAGCAAGCTAGAGAGTACATCTGCCTCAATCGTCACCAGTTCAAATGCTTATGGAAGCAAGCCAGATCTTCCTGTGGAATACTCGGTAGCTCGACACCATAGAGGTATTGAGCACATTATATATGCTTTGGAAGGGTTCTCACCCAAGCTCGACACCCCCTGCGAGTTCTGGACCTTCTTCGCACTGGCTAGGCTGTTCGGAGTATCCACTGTGCCAAGAATTAGCGATATCATATTATCCTGGTTTTACGACCCGAAAAATGCTCGTCTCATAGAATACCACCCCGAGATTGCGTACAAAATCGCCTGTGGGGTACAACATGACTATCTTTGCCGTGACTCATTTTCGGTCCTTGTTGGGGAGGAGGCACTGCTTCTATTAGCGAATTCAGATCAACCACCTTTACAAGGTAGACCGCAATGGACCTTTCATGAGCGTTTCCGGGAGCCATTGTTGGACGATGGCGAGCTCCAACGGATAGAATATGCAAGCAAAAGCTTTCTAGAATATGTTATTGGTCGATTCATCGATCTAGCAGGCTCTGAGATGAAATGGCTTTTCGAATTGCCAAGCTTTCTGCACCTATCGAAGTTCACCCCAGAAACATATTGGGAGGAAATTCTCATGACCGAACTCATCCTAACCTGCAAGGAGTATGTTCGAGCACGTATCGTGCAATGGTTGGAGAGGCAAAACGGTATTTGTTTACCACCAGTGATCGGGAGTTTGGGTAAGGATCGCTCGATACACTATAAGTACGTTTATAGCTCAATGCGCTACCCAGAGCGTGTATTGGCTAGGACATTCTGGAAGAACCTCATGAATGAACCATTTACTGGAAGCCACTTCCCAGATATTAAGGAGTCGTTTTGGGATTCTACCATTGCTAGCTTGGGAAATTGGGTACCAGCTTTCAGGACCCATGCCGATGCGAAAATCAGACCGGTGACACGAAGTGAGCTATGTGGGATGGTGGGTAAATTCAACTCTTTTGTGAACCACCAAATTCCCAATTACCAAACACAACCAGGGTACCCCTGGGATATGGAGGACGACTGTGACCCAGAGACCTGGTTACGCGGATTACAATCAAACAGTAAAGGCCCATTCAAACTGGACATGTTCATTTCAGATGTACAGCTATATGTGGCCAAGCACGCATGTGAGATGTTTGACCTGGGTAGAGGCTCGACCGAGAGAACCGACACTGTTACCTGTCTGACCGAAACTGAACTCAAATATCTACCATTATGGGCAGGGGGAAATGATGATGGAACAGGAGGAGTCTTCATGGACCAAGATATCCCCTTCTTAGAAACAGGAGGTTTCTCTGCACCGGGTCCGGATGTCCACTTGAGTAGTGCAGCGTCAACCGCCGGTTCAATCTCGATCATCAGCGCTAAAGAAATAGAGAGTACCGTCCAAGGTGCTTCTCACGGGGCCACTGATGGTTATATAACGGAAGCCATGTCTATACAATCAATGGCTGCTAGTTCTCAGAGAGACAAGAGTGGGGGCAGCAATCACCAGGAGCCAGCATCACTTGAAGGCCACGAAGCAGTTGACGACTGCTACTTCCTGTTGAATTCGTCAGCTGACGGCGACGATAATTTTTCTCTCGATTTTGACAGCGATGGCGACAACACTGTCGTTATGGACACCACTTGAGTGATTTTGAGGAAATGGATTTGAACGGAGACTTGCGTAGTCCTCCACCTGCGAAGAGATAACACAACTTGCGGATACTCTCGGTGGTAATTTGTAGAAGTATTCCGTAAAGCAGTGGCCACTAATTCTCATAAGTACTGGGAACAATGAGAATCTTTACTTATCGTGTCTGCTTTCTGTAGGAAAGGCATAGAATAGGACTTATTTCCACGTGATGAAATCCGGGGTTCTTGGCGCGCCGACGTCACGGCATTGTGATTATCGACATCTCCGGGTCCTTTTTACTGACAACCTTATCTCCACTAGGCGCCCACCAAATTTCCTGGGCCGGCGAATAAGTTATTCGTGTATCTTTTCACTCAATCTTTAAAGTGTAGGCTCCTTTATATTACTGTTACACTCCGTGACAGAAAAAGCAGTCACTATGGCCTCATCCTCAAAGCCCCCGAGCTTCCTACTCTAGTACGTCTATAACCCACCTACTGCAAAATCTCATAACCATCCTCAATCTAAGACTAACATATCAAACTATCTCTAGCACTTGCATAGCCCACCGCACCACAATCCTCGCAGAGCACTCCTCCCCGGGAACTTCCTCAACATCCGCCTCCTCTCTCGCCTCCATTATTCTCCCCAAAATCACGCACGAAAAATCGCAAAAGCTTACCTACACCCATGAACGCCTCTTCGTGCACTATATCGCCGACTCGCCCACGGGGGCGAGCGACGATTCCAGCTCCCGCCAGGAACCCAACTCCTACGCTCCGCTAAGCTACATCGTAGTCGCGACCGCCGAACAGGGCCGTCGCATCCCATTCGCTTTTCTTCTCGAAATGAAACGCAAGTTTCTATCCACCTACCCACCCTCCAGCACTGATTTCGCCGCCCTCCCGGCCTACGGCTGCGCCGCGTTCAACAACGAACTACGCTCCTTACTCCAGACGTATAATACCGCCCCGCCGTCGGACTCGCTCGCCTCAGCCCGCAGAGAAATCGATAGTGTGAGAGATATCATGACGGAGAATATCGAGCGGGTGCTGGAGCGCGGGGAGAGGATTGATCTGCTGGTTGATAAGACAGATCGATTGGGTGGGAGTGCGCACGATTTTCGCATTCGGAGTCGGGGTTTAAGGAGGCGGATGTGGTGGAAGAATATCAAGTTGATGGTGCTTTTGGGGGTGGTGATTGTTTTCCTACTGTATCTGTTCATTGGGATAGGGTGTGGACTACCGGCTTGGGGGAAGTGTGTTGGTCATAATGAGTGAGTGGAAAGTGCTCTTGTTGGCCGATTTGATCTAGTCGTGATGGTTCCCGCTGCTGCGTACGGGATGGGATGTCGGAGATTTACTGCGTTCGGGGACAATAAAATTGCCGGCTTAGATTATCACCTGGGGCTTTACGATGCCGTTCACGATGGTTTTGTTCTGCGGTTTAGCAGTTTCTCTTGTACTATTACAGCTGGTACTTCTATACATAATACATTCATTTTCCTTTTGCGGGACAACGTGCAGTGTTTAGATATAATGAAACCGAATAATTAGCGCAACAAACATTCATGCGGGCAATATATATTTTTTACCCTTGCAAACACGAGTACACCAAATCCTTTACTTATACTACCTGAACAAAGGGACGCGGTAGGAAAAGATCAAAGAAATTCAAATAATATTGGTCCAGACAACTATACTATAGCAAACCAGACGATAGAAGCCAAGCTTACTTCTTACAATGTAATGTGTCTCACTCTCAAACTCACAGCTTCCTAGCCAACGCTTCAGTGCGAGTCTGCAAGCAAGGCAGATCAACCCCTGGTTTTACCAGATTTAGGTTGCTGCAATTCCTTCTGCGCCATCCGTTTACCTCTTCAACCACTGATCCGCCAGAGACGGGATTGATAAGGAGATAATGTGGCGCTAAATAGGGGAAAGTATTGGGGAAAGGGGAGGAGGGATAGATTTTTGCTTTGCTAAGTATGTAGCAGTCATCGGATCAAGATGCGATGGACAATCCTGAAAAAAGGGGCAGAGGGAAGATTCAGCGATAGCCTGCATCGAGATCGACCTTTGAACATTGAAAGGTGCTCATCAGATGCGGCTATAGCTTGACAAATATGCCCATGGTGCAGAGCACGTTGGCCTCATGAGAAAGACAAGATAAAAGCCTGGTCATAACAGGCTTATTGTATCTCCTTTTGAGTATCACATGTACTCCCGCGCCAAATCGCCCATGTGCAACACAGCAGACAAAAACGCAATTCTCCTAAGCAGACTAGGCATTGGCAGCTTCACGTCCCTTTGTGACACACCCCAGGATCTGCTCGCAGTCATTACCGAGCTTGAGCTTGGAGATGCCGACCATGGAGGGATGAATACTATCTTGTGTGGGCTTTGAACCCACTTCAAGACGGGATGATCTTGCCCTCATGGCGCGTGTTGGAACTGGGATGGTAGCCAAAGCTTCAAAAGGTCAACGAAATGAACTTCCATACCATATTCGTGGCACAGGATGGTCATCTTCTTGAGCCTCCATTGGTGATCTAAACTGGGCTCTGGGTGTCGTGAGTGAAATGTGGTCGTGGTAAGTCGCCAGGGGAAGATGTGCGCCAGCGCTAATGTGCGTCACATGACTTGGGCGTAGGGTTTGGGAGCTGTGGTGGGACCAGAAAATTGGCGGCTCTTCAATGGTGCAAGCTTGACCGCCAGAGAGACCCCGTACCGCCCGCACGCTTACTTTTTTCTTCCCTTGCATTTTGCATTGTGTTTTTCAGCCATTAGGATAAAAATAGTAGGCGGTCAACACTAGAAAGTAGAAGTCATCGCGTCCCACTATTGGAAGATCATCGCGATGCGCGCCAGAATCATTTTATACTGCATACACCCCCAATTTATTTTCATGCCAAAGTGACCACCTCTTCGACGAACGCACATGATCTCATATCATTACCAGTTTCGTCATGCTGAGATACCGAATAATGCTTTAATTGAGAAGCTTTAACAGCGTGGCGTTGGTTGTTCAAAATGTCAAACGATGGATATGGCTGGCTTTCAAATAATCCACAACCAGACTTATATCGCATTGACCACAGATATGGACCTGCCTCCGGACTGGTACAAAGAGACTCGGCTCCGTATGTCGGCATGCCGCCAGCGTTACAAGCTCCTATAGCTGATGCTTCCGCCTACCTTCACACCCCATATCATCCGCCCAACCAAGAATATATGAGAACAAATGTTCCCTATGCAAATCCCACTGCTCAGTACCAGTGTGCCGCTTCTATGCCAGGTTACTACCAGGGACCACCGCCTTACTCTACATCGTCAACTGCTCCAGTGACTCCCAAGGACAGGTCTCTCAGCCGCCCCTCACCAATTCCAATATTCCATGGAAATCATACACACCCAAACATTCAGACTATGGCCACGATACGAAAAGGCGCCGTACAGACACTTCTACGCCATCAAACAAACACGGCATGATATCTACAGTCACTCCCGCCACGTCGAAACCGGCCTCAAAAGAAAATCTCTCGTCCTTCTCCTTCAGCCCCCGTGATACTACAGACAGATCATTCCTCAAGAACCGTGTGGATATCGTCAAACCCCTTAGCAAGGTAGATGCTGCTGTAAAACTTAGTTATGACCCGCGGACGATCGCCAGAGATGTGTTAATCGCAGCCGGGCGACATCCGACGGAACCGGCATTAAACCATCACCTCGTTCGCTTGCGCGATGTTTTCCTCCATGTCGATAACTCATCCGACTTGGAAACCTTTCGCTGGGACATGGTCGATATGCAGCGTGTTAAGAAAGCACGTGATCCGCCTCGGGCGCCGATGCAAGTTTCCGCTCCGCCAAAGGAACCGTCATTACACAGTACGCCCGCACCAACCATACAAACACAAAGCCAACCCGCACAACAACAACCACTACCACCCCCGCCGCCGCCGCCGCCGCCTCAAGTGCAACACCTCAATCAACAACACTCAGAAATCACAGAGCGAATTCAAGTACAGTCTCCAGTGCTGAGCAAACCTCAGGCTTTGCATACACCACCCATAGTAGAGGTGCCGACAAGAAGTCCAAGTATTCAGTCGGGGAAGATGGCTGGGAAGAGACCTGGAAGGCCGCCGGGACGCCCTCCAGGACGCCCCCCAGGGTCCTCAAAAATCCAGGTGGTGGCTCCTTCCACTCCGGCTCCTCCAGTTCCTTATCAGGTTTATTCCTGCGAATGGGACACTTGTAACGCTGAACTTCATAACCTGGCAATGCTCGCCAAGCATATTTACAAAGTGCATGTACCTTACACCCTCACCTGCGCATGGAAGGGCTGCATCTCCGATGACAAATTCCCTGCAGCCGAACTAGTGAAGCACATACGGGGCGCTCATCTTGATCCCATTGCCTGGAAGTTAGGTGATGGACCATCAGTGCCTGGAACTGGTGAGAAAGCATCTGGCTGATTGCTTTTCAACGTGATCTTTGATCTACAAGATTGGTTATTAATACTTGATTTATGATTTTAGTTCAAGGTACTACTAGACACAGCCCGGTTCCTTCGACTATCCCAGAGTCCCATATGACGGGCAGTGAGGATTCACTTATTTTTCCAGCTCATCAAACTTCAATCCGAGCATTTAATCTCGTTCATGGGCATAATACACAGCGTGACAAGGCCCAGGGAATCTTCAAGGCGGTTCAAAGGCTCAAAGCGCAGATTGGAGTTGGGTTGGATCCCAGCGGATGTCAGTTGGCTACCCCCGCCCGGAATGAGAGAGTGAGCAACGAGGAGGATGTCTACGAAGTGAAAATCGATAGTTAGAACAATACGCGTGATACCCCATTGCATCTATCGGTATCGGTATCCTATCCTACATTGCACAGGGTTGGTACCGATTCCAGGAAGTGGCGCTCGGCTGGTTGCGATTCGAATATTCTGTGTACATTATTTCCCCCCCCCCTTTCCAAGGCGGTTTACCATCGCTAGAAGACTTAATTGCCTAATGAGTTGTACAACAGTGATGCATTTCAGGGACCAACGTAATCACATCCATACGGATCATGTACTGGCTTGTCTTTCCTGGTATCTATCGCGCCAATCTAGGCCATTGGGGTATCCATCATCGTCGCGCTTGTGCCGTCTTCACCATCGGAACCAAGGACAAACTGTATCAAAACGAGAAAAGAAAGGAAATACGCTAACAGAAAGTAAGATAGCCACTACCGGTCTTTCTCTCCTCCGATGGCTGAGGAACCGCCCGCAGCCGCTGCGGGTGCTGTCGAAGGGCTAGCAGCAACTGACTCCTGAGATGCAGCGGTCGACTTCTTCGCTTCACTTGCACCCTCAACTCCAGTATCTTTGGCATTGACTTCGAGGAAGTGGTAGAGAACAATCATCATCATCGCGCAGGAGCCGAGAAAGACGGCAAGACGGTGGAGATCGTCGTCGGAAATCATTTTGATGGTTGGGGGGAGCTATGAACCCGGAGTACAAGTAAAAAGCAAGGCCAATTGATTGCTTCGGGAACGAAGGGAATGTATGGTCGGTATGATGAGTCGCAAGACGAAGCCGGGGTGGTTGCTGCTATAGAAGCCACGTCAGTATTCAGTTATTGTAGGATAGTCGTTGCATTTTGGATGGCATTGATAATGGTGTAGGAGTGTTGCCACATTATGAAAGACTTGCCTTTTTGAGTTCCAAGTGGGTATGAAGGACCAAGCTCCAATGAGGGGGGCGCGGTTGGTAGATATGGAAGAGGGAGTTGATAGTATGCACTATTTGTTGTACCTAGGTCGCTGGGCGGAGGTCGAGATCGGCCGGTCGCAAGTGACACCTGTTTGTTGGTTCCTCGTTGGGTTAGGCTGGGGTACCTGAGGCGTCAACGGATGGGATCAGTCAGCGACGGGTGACTAATGTGAAACCCGTTTCAAGGTCATTCTGACGCCGTTGAAGTTGGTCGGCGCGCACTTCAACTGGTTTTTTTTGGACTATTTTCCTTGTTTCACTTGAGGTCTTCCGATCTGATTGACCCGGGTACAATTTAACCTATATATCCACCACATCGTATTGCTGGACCAAATCTTCGGCCGCGTTGTGGGGTGGGGGGGAGAGATTTGTGTGCTGTCCTGTAAGATACACGCCGTTGTCGCTGCACCCCCGTACCCATACTACTACTACTACTACTAGTACCTTCATACTCCATACATACATACAGCTTGCTTTGGCCCCCTCCCAAAAAAAGTACAACAGCGCTAAAGCGGGTTCCGATCTGATTGGATTGCTTTTGTATATTCCATGTTCGACCTTCTCCTCCCCTGACTAATGGTTCTTTTCTTTCTTTTCTTTATCTTCATCACCTGTTCTTCCCTTTCGCTGGTGGTCCCTATTTCTTTGCATCTCCGAGTCTCTCCTTCAGTTCTTGTACCCCCATCCTCGTCTTCCTCCCCCTCCGCCCCTTTTTCCCATCTCTTTGTGTGTTGGTCAACTTTCCCATCCCCAACCAAAAAAAAGCGATTTGATTCCCCCGCCTCACGCCACAATTACACAAAGTGTCACCCTCTTCTTTCATTATTCATCAATTGGTGCTGGAGCTAATTGATTTCTGTTTATCCCATTCCTCAATCATATCCGCGGATTTAACTAGCAAATTTGACCAATTCATGCGCCTAGCTAGTTCTTCACGATGAACGAACCATTTATCGCGACTAAAAACCCGGGCCCTCCGAAGGCTGGCCCTTCGCTCCTGGCCTGCCTCCTCTGCCGGCATAAGCATCTTAAATGTGACGGGAAAACTCCTGTGTGTGGCCGCTGTGCGGCCACCGGGTCAGAGTGCCAATATACTCCTTCGCGCCGCGGGTACAAAGGTCCGTCAAAGAAACGGCGTGCCAACCCGTCCCCCGATGAAACGGCCGACGATCTGGCGGCCTCCTTCGACCCCCAGTCGGTTGGCTTGGTCAACATTCCTCCCGACTGGAACGGCCTGCAGAACGGCTTCCAGTACATGCCAACCGCCACCTTGACGACCCCGTCCTCGGGAAGCCCCGGTTTGACCGAGAAATCCAGCTCCTCGCAACCCGTCCCATTACACAACGAGCCGCTTACCCCGGACTCCTCGTCCACCGTCCCCGGTGATGGCTATCTGATCGATATTTACTACACATATTTCCATCCGTCCCATCCGATTTTGCCTCCCCTTCGTTATCTGTATCGCTCATACGTCCCACCATACCTCGACCATGTCATCAAGTTTATCGGATCACACTTTACCCCAGCCGCCTCTAGCGAAAATTACCGACCCAACGTAATGTCGTCTGTCATGAAGCAGGATTCCTGTATAGAGAAGCTCCAGGCGCTTCTGCTACTGGCCATTGTACTCCATTCACGCAACGAGCGACCCGAGGCGGGAGAGTGTCTTGCTACGGCTGTGGATATAGCCTTTGAATTGGGTCTAAACAATCAGAGCTACGCAACGACGATGAACGAAGGTGACCCGGTGCGAGAGGAGAGCCTGAGGCGCACGTGGTGGGAATTATACATTATCGAGAACATGCTGACTGCACTTGGACTCCAGCGAACCGCTCGCACGGGTCTGGTGGCGCCTGAGGTCGGGCTTCCCTGTGAGGAGCGTATATACCAGGACGGATTGGTCCCACCACCTGCCCCGACCATTGCGCAGTTCGATGAACGTGTATTCGCCGATGAGGAGAGAGATTTCTCCTCTTTCACGTACCGTATTGAAGCGGCTCGTATTCTTGCGCGAGTGGTGTCTATACAAGACATGGTGGAAGGCCAGCAGGACCATGTGGAAGCTATTGACGCGCGGATCACCAGTTGGTTCCACCACCTGCCGGAATCTAAATCCGAATTGCTGCGTTCGGACGGATCGGTAGATGAGATGATGTTTCAGGCCACCATGGTCGTCAACGGTGCGGCGATCTACCTTCACTTCCCAAGATCCGATCTGCTGTCGTCGCCGGCGATGGCTGCGGAAGTCATCTGTGGCCATCATGGCCCTTGCAGCATTCCTGCGTTCTCGCATCATGCACACGCGATGAAGGCGGTGAAAGCGGCCAGTGAGATTTCTTCGTTGGCGTCCATTCGCATGCCAGTCGTGAAACATACCCCTTTCTTTATCTGTGCTCTAGTAATGAGTTCTATTGTGCAGCTGGCTGCCTGCTCCGTGAAAGCCGGACAAATGCCCGATCCGAGTCGAGACCGACTCACGCTCACGATCGGGGTCTTCAAGTCTCTAGGCCGTACATGGGCCATTTCCCAGGCCATCGTCCGCCAGGTCAAGGCTGTCGCGCGCGACGTGATGGATCTTGGCTTGCGACCAACCATGGATCATATCGACTTGAATAGTGTCCTCGACAGCGGTCGATTCTGGATGCCAGAATCCCTTGCGCGGTAAATTGTTTGAATAATTTGGGATCTCTTCTCGATTTTGGAATTTCAATCCTGCTCATATCATCTGACGGTATGGCTATCGATACCCACCGCAGAGATTAATACATAAAAAATCAGCCAACATACCGATGTAGGCATATTCACTGAAAGGAATGGCTGCACTGACCCCCCAGCCCTATTGGAATGGAGATGACATATATTCACGTAGGCGTTTTGTTGATAGTTACATGGAATTTGGCACTGGTGCATATCATGACTGGACGCTAGATACTTGGAGAAGTTTCATCCATCAATATTAAGCATATATTGGCACGGGCGATCAATATCATTTTATTACGAGTTGAACACGCCCCTAATATAGCAACGCACAAGTTTCTCAAAAAAAAAAAAAGGGCAAATAATGCCTTTCGTAAAGAATTCTATAGCAACATAAAATTATATACATTGACAACAAAACGACGAGCTCATGACTCTACATCTATCCACCGAAGCCCCTGCAGCTGATTCGCATACCGAATACCAAACCCATGCTCAAACACCTGTCGCACACTCTCCAGCCCTAACCCAGCCGTTTCCGGATACGTGAAAATAATAAACACCCACCCAACGAAGCAAACCCCAGCATAGAGCCCAAACGTACCGGACGCCGAGATCGCGCTCACAAGAGAAAGAAAAGTAGCTGAAACAAGAATATTCGAGCCCCCTATCATGAACCTGTCAGCATGACACGCACTGCACCGCAATCCACAACAACCAAGAAAGGAAGGAACCCCACGTACAACAAACCATCGTCAACATAGCCGTCCCCACGGCCCTGACTTCCAGCGCCAAAAATTCATTAGCTAGCCATGGCACATTGCCCAGAGCGATCGCGTAAAATGCCACAAACACCGCAAACGAAACGATGGCAAGGATCTTCGCCCACAGCGGCGGCGTGGCGACGAGCTCCAGATTCGTATCGATGTTGATCTTCGAGAACGCACCCGCGGCCATCGCCAGCGCAACCGGTAACCCCCATACAGTGCCGATCAACAAGCGCCGACGACCCAGGTCCACAAATTTCAGCGAGAGGGCCGTGAAGAGGAAGTTCGTCCCGGAGACGATAAGGCCCGCTTCGATGGGTTTCGAGAATCCCATGATGTTGAAGAGCGTGGCGGAGTAGTACATCAGCGAATTGAAGCCGGAGAGCTGTTGCAACGCCATGAGGCCGCAAGCCGTGATGAGCGATCGGAGATGCGAGGGGACGGTGTGCAGCTGTTTCCAGGACCAGCATGCGCGCCGGATACCCTGGTCGAAGGAGATGGAGCGATTGACGTCGTCCTGGATGGTTTGGACCAGGGTCTGGATGTCGGAGGGGGGTGCCTGTGGGTAGATTTGTTGCAGCACCATGATGGCGTCTGCTGTTTGATTCCGATAGATGAGGTGGCGTGGGGTTTCGGGGTAGATGGGGAACAGCGCGACTTGGATTAGGGCTGGGATGGCACCGAAGGCGAACATGTAGCGCCAGCCTTGCGAGACGAGGCTGAATATGGAGCCGAATGCGTAGGCGAGGGCTTGGCCGCCTGTTACTGCGAGCGAGTACACGGTGATCATGCGGCCGCGGCGGGAGGCAGGGGAGAGTTCGGAGATGTAGAGCGGTGTTACCTGTGGATCGTCTTAGGGACGGTATTATGATACAGTAGGGTGTTCTGCTTACCATGGTTTCAAGGCCCATGCCTACCCCAATGATGAATCGGGCGATGGACATTAGGGCAACTGAGTATGCAGATGATGCGACGACGGAGCCTACGGTGAACCAGATGCACCCGAGTCCTATGACCATTTTTCGTCCGATCTATTAAGCAGGGTTAGATCCGTTTCTGGGTATATCCAAGCTGGGCAAGGTGATTGAAGGCTGAAAGGGAGTAAGTAACATACAGCATCCGTGGTGAGAGCTGCGATCAATGCTCCGACAAAAGCACCGCCGCTGGTAAGACTAGTCAAGAGCTGCTTCTCTTCCCTGCTGAGGTCATGGCCCAAATCTTTATGGAATACGACAAGGGCGCTTGAAATGATTCCGGTGTCGTAGCCGAAGAGAATTCCCCCCATGGATGCTGACAGGACGCATCCATAGACGAACCTCGGCGAATAGACCGGCGTGTAGAACGCAGAGAAGCGATGTGCGACATAGTTTCTACGACTGCCTTCATCTACATGTTCTAGTTCAATTGCGTGTGAGTGGCAGGAGGATTGATTGCTTGAGCGACCGCATAGGTTAGGGTGAAGGTGAGAGGATAAATATGCTTTCATGCCAGGAAAGGGAGAGACAATACGTCTTCACAACGCCGGTCGCTGAGAAGGAAAACCTCATCGGACAGAGTAGAGTATCTGGAAGATCCCCTAAATGACAGGTGCCATAAACGTGCCAGGTAGATCATCGATTGACCCTAGGAACAAACGTAGCAAATGGAGGACCTTGGAATGGCGCCCGAAAGGAACAATGGCTGTGCGTCATCCTGTGCCTTTGCCACCCCTAAACCCGATTACTTCCTATGTAGGTTCTCTGACCCATCTTGATGACTCGGCGAATAATGTCGACCGCAGTAAGCGGCAAGCCACTGATTTTAAGCTTCCCCGGACATCGTTTTCCCCCTCGTTTTTACGTAAATGCTCCTACGTAGTGGCTGCTTTAGAGTTCGGACATGCAGCTAATTGTCACGGTATGTGTGCAGACCCTGTCAATGCCCCAGTGTCTCGGGAGACGATCAGCCAAAAGAGCACGGAGATCATATAGTCTCCCTGTCGCAATCACATCATCTACAGATGCATGGCTGTACGCGTAATTGTTGAGAACACCAAGGGAGACGGGGAATGGAGAAATGGCGAGACTATGTAACGGCACCCCTGAGGTCCTAGCTCAATTGAACCATCACGCTGATCTTATTGCTTCGCGGTAGGTCCTGTTTTGGGGTCTTTACCTGATTGCCCTGATTTTCATGACCCTTCGTATTATCTCGAGATTTTCAATTCGCGAGCGCCTGAAAGCGGACGATTACTTCGCCTTTTCATCGTTTGCTCTCCTATCGGTTGAAACAGCAATCCATACAGCCGCGGTTTCGCCATATGTCGACGCGTTTAACGTAGCGCAAAACAGCACAGATTTCGGGCGCGCTCTGTCGGAGAGCCCAGCTTTGAGAGAAAATGTGACAGTGTTACTCCGATACTCTTTTGTAGGTAGTGTTGCTTTGTAGACAATGTCCTGCACAGGTCAACCCCGCTAACGAAATAAGGCTTCTCTCATCATCTTTTGGCTTACGGTATGGTGCGTGAAATTTTCGATGCTTTTCTTTCTTCGGCCAATTATGTTGCCAATCCCAGTGTATCTGGAAGGGTATGTTGTGAAAATATCATTCGACTTGTGGTGTTGATGAACTACCATGTCCTGACGCACTTTTATCAAGCTGGTATATCGTCTTCGGCTTCACGGTAATGAATCTCGTCGGGTGTTTTCTTATACAGTTCTTCGGGTGCTTGCCTTTCGGCCTTAACTTCTCAATCGACAATGGTAGCAGAGCCTCGACCGTCCTCTCCTTTGATCAAGTAATGATTTGTTGACCTACCACAGATAACTGCGTCTCCGGGATCTCTAGGGAGCCAGGCAAGCTCTACGGCACGACAGCCTTAGATACTCTATCTGACGTGATGAGTATGCGCAGACCCATAGAGTAAAAAGAATTATATCACACTGACATTTTGGCGCACAGTCGTCATTCTCCCAACTCGACACCTGTTTGAACTCCCGGCAACAAAAAAGCAGAAAGCGGGTCTCGTTGGCATATTCGCGCTGGGATGGATAATTGTAACACTGCCCTTATCCTCTCTATTGCAGAACTACTGGCGAGATCAATTTCTGACGAAGCATCAGATCGCATTTTCTCTCGTCCGAGCAATCCATGCATCCAGGGCAGGAGACAACTACCTTGGCCCAATAAACCAGGTCTGTAGCCTTGTATCTCGTTAATGTGTGATCTCTGGTGGCTTGCGATCATCAAGGTTAATATGTGTTTGCGAAAAGCGTTGGCTCGCAATTTGGAGCCATGTGGAATGTGTTGTTGGTCAGTGTTGTCCTCCTCCCATGAAACGGCGATTCTAACGGTTATTAGCGGTGACTGTGGCCTGTCTCCCGCCAATATGGGTTGGTTATCGGAAGCGTTGGAGGAGAGTGCATGAATCCTCGATGTCATGACGAGTAGAGCACGTGTTGTATATGCTGTGTGACACCTCACGCACTTATCAAACTCTAGTAAAGTAATGCCAAACACGTATTACAGAACAAGCCAACGTAAATATACTAATAGTTACTAGATCATTGCTTGGTAATGTATTCCATTGATAATACGCTATTGCCAGGGTTCAAACATTCAACTCATCCAAAAGGATCCGAAACAGTCCATCTTAAAGATAGCTCAACCCCCAAACCCCCAAAACATCAATCCGCAAAATGCCCAGCCACATGATGCGCAACAGCAGTTTCGTCGCCCTCAAACACCCCACAAACAGGGCAAGTCACGACCGAACCATTGTGCACGGGTTGTTGAGGTTCATCTCGACGTGCACCCCGCCGCGGTCTTGCACTAACCATATATGCATCTAGACCGATATTCTGCGAAGGAAGCTCTGCTTCGGAGGTGGTCCTTCTTGTCCTTTGTCCCTGTGTCGGGTCAGGTGGGGGGCAAGAACCCCCCGTCCCCATGGATTGCACTCTCCCTACCCGGCCATCCGTGAGCCGGACTTTGATACCCCGGGGATGGTTTCCGCGGGTGAGCACGTCGGCGATAGTGCCCGAGACGGTGCGACCGGTTGGTTGGTCAGCTTTTAAGACGATGTTGACGGGTGCACCGGGCACAACTTCTCTGGTTGTGGGGACGCGGGGCATGGTGTGGTTTGGATGTTGGGGTTGTATCTGGGAAATGCTTGGAGGTTTTTGCAAATGGTGGTGCACGGGCCTTTGATAATGCGCTAAACTTATTTAGGTGTTCTATATTGGGTCCTGATAGAAACATGTCTGATAGCAGCCCTAAGGGGTGCGTCATCCAGGTATTGTAGCTTGGAACAGATGTATTGCTGTCTATTTAATACTGCTTACCGCTCTATCCGGAAACTCTCTTGTAAGAACTTCACAAACCTGATCTATCATCTACTAGTGACATTATCAAACCTCTACCTGTGTCATTTCATGATCGTCTTGCAAACAACGTCCCCCAAGTTCGTAGCACTCTGTACAGGTGTCAAAACTTCCTCCATTGCAGATCTCGCATTGATAGTTGACGTTGTCTTTTGGAATGGTCAAGGTACACACGTCACACCATCTCGATGCCAGACCATGCAATGTCAACGTTACCTCGCCATATTCGTCGTCACACAATAATATTCCTCTCTTCTTTGCATAATCAAGCAACATCTTCTCGATACCAGTATTGCCACTCCTTTTGGCCCACCAAAATACAATCCGCCCAGAACAATCCCGAGAGTCGCAAGAAATGAGTTCAGCAGTACGTAGTAATATTCCCTGGTGATAGCGTATCACCGTCAGAGAACGGACTGTTGTCAGCCAATTGATTTACTGCGCCGCAGCTAGCGTTGTGACAGCGATGGAGCAACAAAGCAAAGTCTCCAATGATGGCTTGCAGTTCTTGTAGCATTCCGTAAGGGAATTGTGAATGAGGGCCGCCTCCACCTCCTTGACCTTCATTAGCCAAATGCAGGTCTAGGGGCTGGCCAGGGACAAACAGGTAAGAATAAGCACTAAATGCGAAAAGTGTCAACTGCTCTGTGTATCCAAGACCGAAAGAGCTCGATGGGTATAAAAGCCACTGTAGGTTAGATTATTGACTTCACCCTTCCGCGTCCAATAAACACACTCGGTTTCTGTTGGTTTTCCTTCCCACTCCTTGTATTACTAGTAGTATCAATACCTCTAGAGGTCTATTATTCTAAGCTAAATACTATTCGTACATCCACTAAGGTTTGCCCCAGCTGTACTTATCTATCCTACGACCTTCAAATATCGCTCCAACAACGATGTGACATAATACAACACGAATAAGAGTAGCTATTATGTAAAAGCTATGGCTCTGAGCAACCTGTATCTAGAATTCCCTTCATTGGCGTCTCCGCGCTACAACCCCCACCCTGGGTGGGGGGTTCATGTACGTGATTGCTCAGGTTTTAGCGAATATATGAGTCTATTATATTTAGCCTTCTGGAAACTCAGCGATATAATATACTACCTGCCAGACACTCAGTCTCTTCCGTATCTTGGTAAGCACTAATCTGATAGGATTTTAAGTTGTGCAGTAGCCGCACCTGCGATGGAGACAGTTCAAATACTGGCTGCAGTAGAAAACTGTCACAGAATTATATTGACAACAATGTCTTTTTCTTTGCCGCTTCTGCCCTTCTATCCTACCGTTCCCTGCGGGCTTTCACCTCCCTGTGTGTGTTTTCAACCTCTTTGTCCTCTTTGGACACATCATGGCTTGTTCTACGCTCACTTTTTCCGCTATTGTTGTCTCTTTGAGCGGCTTTCGAGAAGTGACACTGTTTAATTAGAACGCCGGGAATAGATTTGTTCGACGGATACAATATTTACCTTGTTTCCTTGTGTGGTCGCCTTCGAATTCGGGCTGTTATTGTGTGCTCTTCTCTCCAGTGCTGATGTGTCTGACCGACTACCTCTGAGGGCTCCTGTACCGCGATTAGTCTCTTGGTCGAACTGGTGAATGTATACGTTCTTATCTATTTCGACTCCGAAAACTCCACGCTATAAGTTGAAATACCTGTGTGCTAGATGATTCGAAAAGACACTGCAACACACTATAAAGAACCATAAAGCAGTCGCCTATGCAAGATAAGCCAGGGCCTCTATAGATCATATCAAAATGAGAAGGGGCTCGAGGTGAATCAACTGCAGGGACAAGCAGCCCAGCGTTATTTTATACGTGGAATCAGCTCGTGCCGCGCTTGAACCGCATGCTAACTCCTTTACCTTCTTTTTGTCTTATAATTTTCTCGTGAAATCTTATCACTTTCAATTGGTGGGCATTGGATGTTAGTTTGATGGCGGAATCCTGGCTATATATTGACCCATAAGTAGTGTTGTCTAGGCTTAGGTCTGCATCCACGGAAGTACCTACTTACTGTGGTTAATATTGATACTGCATTCGTGTCCTCCGGCTAGTAGCGTGCTTGTATCCATTCATCTAACACATTGCCTAACATACATCCGACTCTTCAAGCATGCATTGGTCATGACGATTCCCAGAACTCTGATTACTCACGGAAATACTGGGTGATGTAGGCTCTCCCCTTAGGAATGATGCCAGCTGATTTAATTATCATCGGTACGGGAAATTCTAGCCTTATTATGTGCATAGCAAACCTTATCAAGCAAGTATTGTTATGATATAGGTAAAAGGATCTTTTCACATTTTCAGTATAGGAGATAATCTTGGATCAAGAACTGGTATAGTACAATTTTCCTTATACAACGTCACGTATCAGTCTTTTAAAGTATCTCACTTGAGGTAGATGGACACTTATTGCGGTCTAAAAGAAGCTGGGAGAAAGCCGCGGCACGAAGATTACTCGTCGCGCGCAGCCCTTTTGAGCAACGGAAAAGCCGGCCATACTGGAAGACTGAAAGAGAGATGGAAGTGGCAGTGTGACAGCGGAGTATAGGGACAGGGCAAGTAAAATTACAATTAGCAGAGGACCTGAAATGTTGAAGTTTTCCTGTTGGTCAGCTTGGAAAAATGTCATTTTATACGTGCGTAACATGGGGGGCCGGGGAAACGCTGGGTAATCCTCCGTTAGATTTGATTGCTTGTGATCCATCTGAGCTTCTCCTGTACTCTTCGTGAGTCTATGGTGAACAAATTCCAGGCCAAGACGCTATGCCCCTAGCCTATGATGCCCTCATGGAAGTGATGGTAGATCTCATAGATCTCCCCAGCTTTAGGATGTATGCGGTTTAGAGAGCCCAAAAGAGTCACGTGCTTTCCCACATGGGTGTGAGCCTGAGCTGCTCCGGATTACTCAGGCAGCATGTCGACGGGATCAGTGAGTGCCCGGAGCGCTCAGGGCGCTCTCACGTGCAGCCCTCATAAAAGCGGCGGCACCCGTATCGGGTAACCGGTCGGAACTCGCAGAAAAACAATTCACTTATGCACTAGTGAACTGTTTTTCTGCGGAAACTTTGGGACTTTCCATTTCCGGATTCGGTCCGAAGCGCCGCCGCTTTATGCTCACTGAGCCAGGCTGGTCGTGACCGGAGAGAGAAAGTGCGTGCCCTAGTCGCTCCTTGAGCAGTCCCGGAGCTCTCCGGATAGGTTCCTAGTTCGCTCACTGATCATTGCCTTGGCTAGTCTGCAGTAGGATTGATTATTCGCCCTTGAGCAACACATGACACCCGGATAAAAATCCTTAAAGCCAAGCCTACTAGGCTTGGGGTTCCTAGGGTTGAAGACACGGTGCATGATGTATACTTAATTTGGTCACCGTGGAAGTACAGGAAACTAAAAATGGATGATAGAACTACGGTGTCGGCATGCTTAGTTTTTATTAAATTTGTTGGTTCTACCACTGATATACTATTCTATTATTTTAAATAAAATATATACCGTGGAAAGTAATTATTGAGCCATGGTAGAGATACAGTAGATTTTAGTAATTTATGGTGGCAGCATGGTGTTTATTTGAGAATATTAAAAGTATACATACTGCATCATAGATTCTTTAGACACGAAAAGAAAATTTGACATGCCTAAAACACGGTGAAAACACTGTAGATCCACCGTGTTTGCAACCCTAGGACCTCCCAGTAGGTAGCCATATCCGTGCACATTCCTCTCTTTTCTGGGGGCATACTTTTCATTTGTCCCAATGACCTAGAAGCAGTTCTACAGTTCTTGGTTCGCCTATAATACTAAGGAATAATATTCACTCGTAAAACTGATTTCAGATTGCGCAAAGCTCATTATACTGTAATCTGCTATAAAAAGGCCATTTTGTATGCAATACCAAGCTGACCCGCCAAGTTGCGTGATCCACTACCTTACCGGCTACGTTAATGTATATATCGTCTAAATATCTTACTTATATTATAGTGTATATAGACATGGTTGAGATATCGCAGCCCTGTTGAGTGCTATTTTACATGGAATACAGATCATCTGTGTCTGCCTCGTTAGGGTGTACAACTCGTTTGGGAATTCGTTATAGTTCCGTACCGTTCTGTCAGCAGCCGAGATCTAACTGACGGTGGCTTCGTAACAATCGGTGTGTAATAGAGAGTGGCTGTGCGTTAATTTACGGTGACAGGACACTTCAAATGTAACGATCGTACGACATCAAGGGCAATGTGCAGCCCTTCCAGAGACACAGTTGGGACAGGTCAAATCTTTGCGACTAGTGTATCATGACCTCGATATGGCTTATGGTCAAAATTTGGGCTGAGCTGATCGACCTTAACTTAACTGACTTTCTCAGTTAGAGACGGCGCAAAATATAGTTTCCCTTAGTGCGATGGAGGCCGAGCATTGGTCAAACTTCATAGAGATATCCCTTATCTACCTATGGTAGTTTGACACAGTTCTTAAGGGACACTCCATTGAAAGAAGTCTTTCCCTCATGAGCAACTTTTAGGTGACAGAAGGCGAAAACAACATACTAACTTAACAGCTCGTCGCAAAATAGTTAAGTGCTCTCAATAGAAGCTAGAAGCCGCTAAGCTAAGAAATCCTGTAAACGTTTGTGCTCCAAAGAGCTGCTGGCAGTTGAGGATAAGAGCAAGCATTCCAAATTTCGGGGAGTACACACTAGCAAAGCAGCCACACATAACACCTTGTAGCGCGGTCTGGTGTATGTTGAAAGACTAGTCTGGAACGTTTAGCTTAGTGTCTGTGAACGACGACCCAGCAGCTGCTATGAAATGGGAACAATTTTCTGATACTGTAACAATGTTATGGTCGCATTTGGGACAATACACTCCCCGATCCAGTTGTGAACTCCAAAAACCATGCCTTTGGAGAAGGACCAGCCGTTGCTTGTTCGAGAAAAGAGTATCAGACTCTTAATGTGACAAATGGGATATAGTACAAGAAATTCGATGATTGTAAAAGAACCCTCGACGCTCTCTAACTGCGTTGTATCTCCCAATTTGCAATCGTGCTGCAGACCCCTCCTATGGATGGACGGCATGAGTAGAAGGCAGCAGCTTGAATATCGTGTCATATTCGGCTCTAGCCAGGCCGTTTCAGGCTTCGTCTCCCATACAGATAAGAGCACTTGTCCGAGAGCGAACGCAACTGGCGTGGTCGACATATGCCTGACGAGGCTCGACCAGTGGTGGCCTTTAATGCGGGGCTTCTTTTAATTTTCTCCGATATGTGGCTTATTTTGCAGCCGTACGGGGTATGGCTTAGTCGCCGATGAGCTGACCAGCCTCAGCAGGCTCTTTTGGGCAGTCACACTCGAAGGAACCAGAATGATCAAGTTTTCTTGATATCGCCCTGCCACGGTCCCCTGCACCTAGTCCTAAATAACGATTCTGGCAAGCTCACTTCCGCGCGTCTTATCAAATCGCTCGCCGCGGTAATTCTCCAATCCAACTTTGTGTTTCATTGGAGTAGGTAATCTCGTCACCTGTTGGCTGGGTATCAAAGCGGACGGAGGAACAATTTTGGCACGATCAAGGATGATAGTTCTAGCGCAGCGTTGGATGGTGGATAGCTCCCTCCGGCCCAAATTCCAATTGCATTTCAGGGCAGAGCGCGAGATAGACGGCGCGGTAATAATTCTTGATCAGAGGATTTGCATCGCGTAATCGAAACTCTGTCCGTGCCACGACATGTGACTAACGTTGACTTCAGCTCACACTATCCTCGTCCCATCGTGTCCAGCCTGTGCTCGCGGTGCTCAACCTATGGTAGCATGCGAGCCCGGGATGTGGCAGGAAAGCGCAAGCAGTCAATTCATGAGCTCTGGTTTCGCATCTGAACAAGCATTTCGAAGTATGTACCTGTATTATCTATTCGCTGGTCAGTAAATCTAAGAGTATCCCTGAACCTAAAACATGGTAAACAACTAAATGGGGGAGAGACTGGGGAGAAAAACGAATATTATATTGCTGATTCCGGCTCTGGTGATCTCTAGACTACTATTCTAATCAGAATGCGGTCTATAGTTCCAGGATCTCTTGCACGCCTGGAAATATTGGCCCTCGAACTGGTTTGCCAAAAGATTTCAATTGGAATAAGAGGTTGATATCTGTCCAACAAACAGCACCTCTGCTATCAAGTTGCCCTTACACATGAAATGACTTTTCACATTCGAAAATAGAAAACAGACCGGAAGCTCACAATCAAGTTGCTCCCGCTCTTCCAATACTGCTTTGAAATGCAAAGACGGATGCCAGCGAAAGACATATTGTTTGAACCATCGAGGGCCTCCCGTGATTTTCCGACATTGCCAGATGCAGTGGACTCTGGCTTGGTATCCTTATTTCAGGAGATTTGCCGACGGAAATGGCGAACTTAGAAATATATTTTGGCTACTAAGAGGGGTAGCTAATCTAGGAAAGGATTGGATCTCTAGCAAGTGCTGTTAGCTATCCTGTTATCTCCTTTGTACCCCCACCCCCTCATAGCTATCTAGATATGAAGGATTTCCTTTATTTACCTATAACGCACCCAGGAATGACTCGGAGACAATGTAAGAATCACCGATAGCCTAATGAAAACCGACAACCAGCACCCTCGTGTAGAGGACCCACGTTCAACATTCCAGATGAGGGAATGATACATGCGTGGGGAGACATATTATATAGCAGTGCCTTGCTTCCCAGACACCCACGTCAGTTAATGCGAGCTGCACGATCATTGCCGTATCAGTCTTAAGACATACAGAAACCACGAGACATTCTCCGTGGACGGGAAGATAAATTCTCTCAATCATTGCCTTTCTCGGTAACCCTGCTGCGGTGTATCAACTTTTAAACCCCGAAAATGTCTCAGCCGATAAGACTCGCTCGGGTATCTGGCAGCTTCGGAGGAAGAAGGCATTGGCCTTCTTTGCCACGTTGATATCGGATGAAGAGCCCCTCCTCTCATCATTCATATGCGCTGTACGCAACACTTCATTGGCGATTGTGGGGTGGCAAATGTGCGCTTTAGACTTAGTTCCTTATGTCTCTTTGTGTATTCCGTATCTCAACACTCGTTGGCAATTGCGCTAGGTCGGGGCAGCCTTTGTGTTTGTATAACCGGTTGCGATAATAATGGAAACCCTGTCGCATCCTGTAGCTATTGATAGTTGCCAGAAGTATGCATGTTTAGCCGATATGAACAAGAAGGGTCCACAACGGTCCGGACTGTCCAGCGGTCTTCCATTAACTTTCATCATGCTTGGTGGATGCTTTGTATAGTCTGGGGGTATCCTAGCAGCATGAAACCATATCCACAGTGCAATTGTGCTATGACATGGTCGCCTAATGAACTACCGGCCGGCTTCCCGGTAGACCCAAAAGGCCCAAGTTACCGACATGTAACTCATTTCCTAACTTGGTGCTATCTCAACCGCTGCAGCTTTAGTCGACTCAGTTGCATCGCTGTTGCATGATAAGAAATACATGAACTTTCTATACACCCAATAATACGAGTCAGTGGCGAGACTGGTGCGGTGGGATTCCATGGAGCATAGTGTCGTAATCCCCCCTCGTGAACACCATGGATGCATCTATACATTGTCTATCATAATATACCACATCCCCCCTCCCCCTAGACAATTGTTGGTTTGATAGCCGATTATCGACCAACTCAAATTAGTGTAAATGTAGAATGAATGCATATCTCCCCAAGTAACATAAGGAAGAATTATGCAAACTTCACCCTGACATCATCAAAGTCGGGTACGAACCCTCCCGTCGAAACCGGTAATTCTCAGCGTCTTGGAAAGGCAAAGTGAGGCAATAATCCCCGCCACCCACGGACCAACATGGAAAGAGATGGAAGACGGGAATGGCATCATTTCCCGCATGCATATCACGTGGCGTTGAGAGATGGACGTGCGCAGATTGACTAGACTCGTACTTTGTCTCCTCTTTCTGGTGAGTTCTGAGCAACTCCCGGATATGTCTTCCTCATTCGTCCAGCATCCGCAGTTTGCCATTTGCTTCGTTTTGATTCGTCCTGTGAGCCGCGTGATCAGAACAACCCTAAGGCGTGGGCCACTCGGGTGCGGGGAAATTGCGTTAACTTAACCTTAACTTCAGATTGGTCCGGGGTCGAGAAACTGGGGTTTTGGCATTACCCGGGGGACATCCTTTCAATGATAGGAAGCGGAGATAGAGAATACTAGGTACGAGGAGTATTCCTGTCGAATGACAGAGCCGCAGCCATACCCGCCTCCTCTCCCTCTCTCCTTCACCGTCATTGGGTAGTAATCTCTCGAAATGCAGCGAGCGAGGGTTTTTGATGTAACTTATAAGATTGACCAAAAAGGCAGGCCTGCGAGAAGTGGAGACTCCCTCGACCTTCGGCTGCCCTCCGCATCTCACGTCAAGACTCTAGACTCCCCCTCCCCTGAAAGTGGGAAATCTTGCCGTTGAGGGCCCGGTCTGGGAAATGATCGTGTTAGAAACGACGTCACAGTTGAGGCTTGTCCCGACATGCATCAAGTCGGACCGTAGGACTCGCCTCACCTATCGATAGCCGATATTAGATATAAATACGCCGAATAACTTCGGGATAGACTCAAAAAAAGGGCAAGGTACTCCGCAACGGTGCCATACCACGCTACCTTCCCCATCCTCAGGCTATACTCTCTTTGCCGCTCCCAATTGAGTAATTTTTCTTCTTCTTCATTTCTTCTCTCCTTTTGTACATACCACACTATACCATATACGTACTACTGTACACTTGGGCCTCCTCATAAACTACCCGTCGACCATGAGCTCGATCGATCTAGACAAACGCAAGGATGGTCCGACAGTCGAACACGACGAGGGTGCCATACCAGGCGTTCATTATCAAACCGTAGATCCCCATGCCGATCCGGATGAAATTTCATATGGCCCCAGTGGCGTCAAAGGCCTTTTTTTCTCCAAATATGTCCTCGGTGCGGCCACTCTCGCCTCGCTGGGCGGGTTTTCCATGGGGTATGATATGGGTGTCATCTCCATCATCAATGTGATGGAACCGTTCCACAAGGCGTTTCCCAAGGCGGAAACCTCTTTTGGGAAGGGTCTGATGACTGGAATGTTGCTGCTGGGTGCCTTTATCGGTTGTATATTCATGTCTTATCTTTCGGATCGCATCTCAAGAAAATGGGCGATCACGGCTATGGTGGTGGCCTTCGACATCGGTGCTATTCTGCAGACAGCTGCCGTAAACTACGACATGCTAGTAGCCGGAAGATTCATCGGTGGTATTGGAGTTGGCACATTAGCAATGGTAAGCAGAGCCTTAGCAACCAGGCCATACCACCCAACCCTCCCAACAGACTAAAGGAGAAGACCAAAAACTAACCCAATATCCCCGGTAACAGGGCGCACCCCTCTACATCTCTGAAATCTCACCCCCGAACATGCGCGGCACACTCCTAGTCCTGGAATCAATCTCCATCTCCGCAGGCGTAGTAATAGCTACTGGATCACCTTCGGAACACGCCACATGGCTGGTGAAGCCTGCTTTCGCCTTCCCTTCGGCCTCCAAATGGTTTCAGCTACAACCCTGGGCCTGGGCATCCACTTCTTCCCCTACTCGCCACGCTGGCTGGCGCTCGTAAACCGCGACGCTGAATGTCTAACCAGCCTTACGAAACTGCGCAATCTCCCCGCCACCGACGAGCGCGTCCAGATCGAATACAACAGCATCATTTCTGAAGTCCGCTTCCAAAGAATCGTCCAGGAGCGTAAACACCCCGGCGCAAAGGGTCTGAAGCTCGAAATCCTGTCATGGTTCGATCTATTCTCAAAGGGAACCTGGAGACGCACAGCCGTCGGCTGCGGTATTGCATTCTTCCAGCAATTCTCGGGGATCAATGCCTTTATCTACTACGCACCGACGCTCTTTGAATCTCTCGGCCAAACCTCTGAGATGTCGCTTATTCTCTCCGGTGTTTTTAACATTCTCCAGTTTGTTGCGGCAATCATCTGTTTCCTTCTCATTGAGAAAATCGGTCGGCGGCCGCTTGCTATCGGTGGTGCATTCGGGATGGCAGCAGCGTATATTGTCATCGCGGTATTGTCGGGCGTGTACTCGAAAGACTGGCAGGCCAATATGGCGGCCGGCTGGGCGTGTGTGGCGATGGCGTTTGTGTTCATCTTGCTATACGGAGTCTCCTATTCGCCACTAGGTTGGGCCTTGCCATCTGAGGTATTTTCGACGACGTCACGTTCGAAAGGTGTAGCGCTTTCGACATGTGTGATTTGGCTGTCGGATTTTATTATCGGGTTAATTACGCCGTCGATGTTGGCCGATATTGAGTATCGGACGTACATCTTCTTCGCTGTGATGTGCTTTGTTGCAGGTATTTGGGCATTTCTGCTCGTGCCGGAGACGAGTGGGAAGTCGTTGGAGGAGATCGATGAATTGTTTGGGGATGACAGTGCAAAGAAAGAGAGGGAGATTGCGGCGGCTGCCTCGGGTTCCTCCTCTTGGGAGAGAGGTGTTATGGCTGTATGATCTGTTTCTTTCTCTTGTCTTCTTTCTTTTTGAAAATACATTCCCCTCTCTCATGTGTAACGGTATTTTATTCTTGTATTAGATAGGATTTTATACTTGGATAGCCTCAGGAAGGATATATTTTTTATTTTGATTGAAGTTCTGTGCTTGGTTTCGTATGTGACAATGGGCAGGTATGCATCTGCTCTCAAGCAAAAAGGCCAACCGGGTATCTTAGTTTTACTTCACGCCCGCTTGCTGCTAACTGAAGTCAAATCACAACTAATGAAAGAGTACTAGGTGATATATGATAAAACGAAGGATGTATCTAAACTTGAAGGATCGTATAATCTTAGAAAGCCATGCCAGTCTATTGATAATAAGGAAATAAAAGTGGTATCATAAGGGAGAGCAACATGAACAAGGAATGTGTCTTTCGGGTATTGTTGATCACATAGTAATAAAAAGAAAAGGGATAAAATCATTTACTCTCGTCCGTATTGTATGCACCAAATTCCCGCATTGCGACTGCTCTGCGCTCTACGACATCTTCGCGACGCACGACGTTGCGCAAGGCCTCGCTGGCCTGTATGAGGCCGTCAATGCTGATTGCGTGGTTGGTCATTTGGTGATTGATATACGTGTATAGCTCGGCAGGAGTGGAGCAGGTTGTGAGCAGTTGCTGTTCGTTGAGTTTAAGAAGGGCAAGTGCAACTTGGAAAAGGAATGTGCTGCCCCCACCATTACCGGAAGTGAGGTCTTTGATAGGGGATGCAGTGGAGTCATTGGGATCTCGAGGGCTGGACGTTGATATATTGGCGGAAGTTGGGGTTGGATTGATGACACTGGTGACGTTGAGACATAGGACTACGTCCCAAACGCGATACAATGCTTCCGCAGAGAGACAATCCGTGAACACGGATAGGAACCACTGGAATGTCAATGCCTCTAATTCAACGCCGAGCGCCTCAAGATGAGCGGCTAGCTTGGGTAGAACTTCGGAGATGTACTGGCGCAGCACGACCTGGTCAGCCCGGGATGCCAGCAGACCATGGTCGTAGTAATGTTCTGGGAGGATGATCTCGATCATGGATGCTAGAATCCAAAACGCGTCCTCTGCAGTCGGTGTTATGAGAAGTAGAGACGCGGCAATGAGATTCATGCCTTGGCAGTACCCCACCTCCGAATTGCGACGGGCATATGCGAGGAGAACCTCCTTAAGTTTAGTGACGCCAGGGCCTTTGCGGAAGAATACGTTATCTGTTAAAGTCCGGTTGATGTCCATGTCGATTTGCGCAACGACAGATTGGTCGGGGTCCTTGCCACCGACACCCTTCACCAGGTCATCATAGTAGCCAGGTATACGCATGGAGGACGCGCCGCTGCATTCGGACCAGACCTTAGCTCGAAGCGCAACGGGAATTCCTCCGAGAACAAGAGTTCGGAATTCCCGCCACTTCGCACGGCCGACTTTGCCCTTGTTCCCCAGGCCAGCAATCCCCACAACCTCGCCATCTGCAAGGGACGCTTCAGGCATATGTACAGACCGCAAAGGCCGATCGGAAGCAGCTGCGGCAGCGGCAGCGGCCTCGCCCTCCTTCCTCCGCTCTGCACGTACTTTACGGAGAAACTCATTCCACCTAACGCTCCTATCGCGCTGCAGGGAGTCGTGGAGGTCCGTCAATTGTTCAAGAAGCAACTTCACAGGTTCATTTTCGTTTGCAGTGGCCGTTGCCACCGTAGCGGTAAGCTCATCATTCGATGTGCCAGCAAATTCTGGACGATCTGCAACAACAGTAGACGTAGAAGCCGACGGCTGAGCATTCGCATTGACTGAGAGCGAGCCACGCTTATCGACAGCAACCCCAGGGCCTCGAGGCTGGCTCTCACCTGCGGTTAGCGACACGATAGGACCAGCCGAAGGTGTATGAGACAACAATTCAGCAGGACCCGTCGCAATTCTTAGGTAGTCTTGCCACCTCCGGATTGCAACACTACCAGCCTCCGGGTCCTCAGGAGATGCAGAAACGGGAGAGCGTATAGACTCTGCAGCGGACTGTGGCTGCTTCTGAAGATCATCATTATCACCATCCGAGTTATCGCTTCGAAAACTGTTCAGGGTCTCCGCAATGCTTAGCCGGTTGTTGTTATTCTTGAGCAGACTGGCCTCTCGCTGCCGCCTTTTTCGGCGCTGATCATAAATGAACCCGAATCTGTCAGTCAGAAGCTCACCAGGCTGATAGTTGTTGTACATATGTGAGAGTGTTGGAGGTCGCGACTCCATCGGAAGGATAGCATCCATCTCAACTGGTCCGAGATTGGTTGGGTTCTTGTCAGTGGTTTCCGAACTTGTCCCGTGTGAAACACTTGAGGCTGCATGTCTACGCCCTATCTGATTTGATCGGTTTATCGCACCCAGGCCACTTGGCGACTTTCCAGGCGCTCCGTGCATGCTCGTGTTACTGTTGATCCTTTTCAAGGCAGCCACTGCCGACAGTCCTCCTTTGGAGCTTGCTTGGAGGGAAGGAGGATCTCCCTTGATACTCCCCCGATTGTTTGACAGAGTTCGGCCACGCGGTGCGTCCGCGTTGTTCTCTTCCTTGCCTGCTTGGGCTTTTCCGGCAAACAACTTGACTGTCCAAGACGATACAGATTTTGACGACTTGCGCGAATGGATACTGGCATCATCCCCATTCACCGAGACCCCCGCCACGTGTTTCCTGATGATATCGCCCGTAGAGCTCGTCTGCTCATCCGGAGGATTGAAAAGGTGTTCGTCAAGCGCTTTCCGGCGGGCCATATTATTCGGGTGACGTCGAGTATCTTCTTCATCAACCTCACCAACATCAGTCATTATGCTACTCGCTCGACTGGTCTTTTTACTGCCTGTATTGCTGCCAAAAAGGTAATCCTGCCAATTGCGCAGAGAGCTTTGTCTCTTTCGCGTAGTTCCTGATCCCGATTCGACGCTCGAGGTGCCCGATTTGGCGTCGCTCTCCAGGCGTTGCAGGCCTCGAACGGTAGCTTGCGCCGCAGTGGCTTCTAACAACTCATCTTGACGAGAGCCTACTCCATCAGACATCGCTTCCTGCATCAGCCCATGAACTCCAGAGGAAGAACCGGCTTCCTGTTCCGCATTACCGTTATCATGTTCTTTTTCAACCTTCCGAGGCAAATTTTCCAGTGCATAAAGCCGTCGCTCAATATCCTGGTTGGAGACAGAAACCTCCCTCAACATCCTCTTCAATTCTCTCTCCCTTGCATCAGCCCGCTGTCTCAGTGACGAGATCTCAGCATCCCGCTGAGCCAAATCGCGCGCAAACTGCCGGACCAACTTCACAGCTCCTGTACCAGCAATCAACCGTTCAATATGTGCATCGTCCGCCAAATGTAGCGCACCAGGGAAATCATGGACCGGAACACCATCGTCAAATAAAGCCGCACGGCCAGACGTGCGCGGCATTCCGCTCGTCAACTTCGCTAGGGTCGCTCTTCGATCACGACCAGTCATCTCACCCGAGCTACTACTATTGATGCTCTCGTGGTCATCCAACAACGCGTTCGTAAGGGCGCGGTTTAACGCAGGCTTGCCGAAAAATCCTTCTACTGAACGGTCCGGAGAAAGGGAAGGAAACGACGTAAGGTCGGTGGTGGTAGCATTGGAAGATGCAGCTGACTGTCGTTTCTGAGACCTCGTACGGACGGGTCTAGGTTTTTGGCTGTGACGGGAAGAAGAGGACGTCCGTGACGATGACCGACGCTGCGGGCGTTCGATATCAGACTCCGCCATGACTCTTTGCAAAGTGGTTTGAGCAGACGGAGAATTGGCCTGCGGACTTCATGAATAACTGTATACTTTGTATTCACTGACAGGCTTGTTAGAGGAGAAGGTCGATACGGAATTCCGATACTCGTCCCATCTAATTAGCCCTTGGTACCTTCGCTGGTGGGATGTCGTGATTGCGTCTCATGGATGGGTAGAAATCTGCAGATCATCCCACAAAGCCAAAGAACAACAAATTTACGGCGAACGGAAGAGGGGAGAGTAAAGAACGACAGAAGGTTCGCGAAGGGGGCAGCCAGGAAGGCAACAAAAAAAGAAAATAAAATAAAAGAAGCAGAGTCTGGAATGCGTTTAAGCAAAGCAAAGAGCGTTGGCCATGACGTGGGACGGGGCATGTGACTTTTCCTGTTTGGTACTAATGCGGAAGATCGGCTTACTCACCAAATTCTTGTTTTTTACTGTGTTATGTAATTGTCCTGCTGAAAGTCAGCTGACTGCAACCTCGGCTCCCCGCAAAAGAACCGATCCATGGAGCAATATCCGAGCTAATCGGAGAGCCATTGGAGGCATGACTCCGAAATGCGTGTCGCGTATATCTTGCTCTATATCTATACCTAACCGCTGACATTGATTCGAATATTGTATACTTCTCTGTCTTAATCTACGATCAAATACGGTCTACGGAGTACACGAACAGCAATTGCGAAGTACTAAACCATCTAAGATGTCCGGAGCTGCCAAACAACGTCTCCAAGCAATCAGCCAGCAACTGGTCGAGGGAATCCCCGACGCAGGCACGTTTGAAGGCATCCCTAAGATTAGGCAAGTTGCTCAGGACTCGGTCGGTCCGTAAGTGTATTCTCAATCCTCAAATCCAGCATTCTCAACCGGGAAACAATTGCATGCACAGCCCAATGCTAAGTGAGGTATAGCCGTGTCAAGGACAAAGTTGTGATCGTAACCGGTGAGTCTAGCATATCCCTTACAAGACATCGAACTATGAGGCTTTATGTACCTCAAACAGTGTCATGTGCTAACCAAAGCAATCCGAAATTAGGAGCCAACTCACCTGCCGGCATCGGTCGTGCTAGCGCACACCAATTTGCTCACAATGGTGCCAAGGCCGTCTACATCTGTGACTACGATCCCACACATTTGGCAACTCACAAGCGGGAAATCGAAACTCTCTATCCAGGTGTCGACGTTCATACCCGCCAATTCGACGCAGCCGATGAAGTGGCTGTGAAATCCGTGGTCGATGATGCAATTCAGCGCTACGGCAGGCTCGATATATTCTTTGCAAACGCAGGGATTGTGGGTCAGCCAAAGATGTTCACAGATATTTCTGGGGAGGACTTTATGAAGACGCTAAAGACAAATACTCTTGGGTTAGTCCGCTGTCTGTTAGGCCGGTGGTTAAAGGAGGACATGTACTGATGGCTGTCTCACTAGTGTCTTTTTGGCTGTCAAGCATGCGGCTGGCGCCATGAAACAGACTTCGGCTTCGAAGCCGTATCCCTCGGGCTCTATCATCTGCACCGCGTCAGTTGCCGGCTTGCGCTCTAATGCCGGTTCGACCGATTACTCTGCGTCAAAAGCGGCTGTAGTCTCGATTGCTCAGACATGCGCGTATCAACTGGCGGGCACCGGTATACGGATCAACGCTATCTGCCCTGGCTTGATCGAGACAGGCATGACGCAAGCTGTGTTTGACGCTGCTCGTGCAAGAGGAACGCAGCGCAAGATCGGACAGTTGAACCCCTTGCAGCGAGGTGCTGTTGCTGATGAGGTTGCTCGGGCAGCCCTTTTCCTGGGAAGTGATGAAAGCAGCTATGTTAATGGACAGGCATGGGCGGTTTGCGGCGGACTGAGTGCGGGACACCCGTTCGTACCTGGCAAACTGGCTTAACTGCCTGCAGATGCCTACTCTAGACAAAGCTATATTTGCTATATAAACAATTTTGAATTCAATCAATCCACCAAATGGTAGACGTTATCCAATTCAGAATATTTTGGACTACAGCGGCTCTCAAAGCAGCCCCTCTCGAAACTATAGACAAAAGGAAATGTATGTGCCACAACAAGGAAACACAATGAGTGTGGTGGTCCCACATGGGATGCCGTTAAAAAAAGAAATTGACCCAAAGCGACAAAAGGTCCTGACCACTTGGTCCCGGAAAGAAATGAAGTTAAAAACGCCAATGGTGCGGATGGAGAAAGCAAAACGGGACAATTGATCCATCCCAACACAGACGAGAAGAAAATAGGTCCGCCAATAGAAGAATGAATAGATAATAAAATGAATATGACAGGGAAAAGAGATCTTCAAAGCTGGAAAGGCAATAGTGGGAATATCCAAAACGGAAGGTGGAAAAGAATAAGACGAAAGCAAAAGTCAAAACAATGCCATTGCACAACTCGCTCTAACTAAGATGGTGGGGAGCAGAGATCGTGTCAAAGTCGTTGAAACTAGCGTTGCATCATCGGGCGATGGGCAATTTAAGCGACCAGCCTGGAAGTGCTCGACCGCATGAGATCCTCGCTGGTCTGCTTAGACAGAGTTCCGGTCTCGGTCTGGTCATCAAGACCATCGGTCTCATGGCTGTGCTCATCATCATCCTCAACTATCCTGGTGGGCACCTCACCTGGTCCATACTGTTGGCTAGACCTTTCCGGAAAGGTTGAATTGCTCACCATGGACATTGAGGTACTCGACCGGTTATGCACCAAGTCTGGTGTGGGAGGAACACTGGAGCCCCGGCGGGCGTGAAGGGAGTTATCCACGTCGCCCATTTCGCTGCCTTCGCGAATTGAAGATTGGTCATCAGGGGCCAGTCTGTTTCCATTCAGTGTCTTGCTGGACCCATCAGAGTCATCATCTTCCGCATCCTGGGCCAAGTGCAGGCCCTCCACAGCGGCAGCACACTGTTCGCTGATGCTGCGGATGATGTCGGAGATCGCGTCGGTCTTATCCCGCAGGTAGCGATCTGCAACATCAGTTATGCTAAGGCGAGCGAGAGAGCGGTTGTGCCCATTACCAATGTTTAGGAGATGCTGCTCCAGTTCGGGACTCATGTCCTTCATCACTCTGGAAGCCCGGTTATCGTCAAGATGAGGAGTGCTCGATTGTCTCCGAGGCTCCGGTGTCGGTGCCAGTGTCGGTTCAACTGCCTTGCTTTCCTTGAATTCTTTGCTCTCCTCGACTGCCTCCTGTTCTGCCAACTCAGAGATATCGACCTCGCTACCAATGGAGCGAATGATGTGCTCCATATGATGGGTTTGTCCGTTGATGAGGCTACGGAGATGCAAAACCACCCGTTGAGCCTCATCGCGCTGCCGAGCCAGAGATACATTACTGTGCTGCAAGGAAGACAGCTCCTGCTGGTTACGTTTGCGCTCGCGCTCCAGTTCTTCTGCAATCTCCTGTTGAAGAACCAATGCTTCAAGAGCATCATCCCGCTGCTTCTCAGTACCAGACAAACGAAGCGTTAGGCGGGCCACATCATCCTTCTGCTGGTCAATGAGACCTGTAAGGCGGCGATTCTCACGCTTATGGTTCTCAATCTTGACCTTAAGTTCGGAGGTCTCCTTGGTGAGCTGCTCTGCGAATGCCTGGAATTTAAGGAATTGCTGCTTCCAGGTCTCCAACTCCTCGACCAAGAAGTTGTTGCGCTTGGTAACCTTGCTCAACTCAGTGTCCATGCGACCCTTCAGGTTAATGAAATCTTGCCAAGCCTCCATAGCATCGCGGGAGTATTGGTTCCGCTCGCGCACAATCTCGTTGAGATGACGGGTGGACACCTTGGTCATCAGGGGTTTCTTGACAGAGCCGCCGAAAATGGCCTTGACGCCAGTGTTACGGCCCAACTTCTCACATACATGGTCCATGACTCCCATTACAGCATCTTGGTTCCACCATTGGGGATCCTGGATGCTCTCGACCTCTCCTCTCATCACAACGATCTGGCCAGCTGGGATGAGCTTACCGCCAGCGTATGCAGACCGAAGGTGGCCCGGCACACCTGATGGTGAGACATCGCCGTTCAAAGCTTGTGTTAAGCGGTTGATAAATTTGGTACGCTGCCCTGGAGTCAGAACGTTTGGTGGGCTGGAAGTAAGCACGAAGTTCCGGTCAAGGTCCACAACCAGAGCGTCGTTCGGTGCGTTGAACAAAGTCCGGCACTCCGCCGTAACACCAAGGATGTAAGGACCAGGCTCCTGAACCAGGTCTTTGATGTGACGGGCGTGGACTACCGGCACGTACAGACCACTCCATTCATATACTCGAACGCAGTACCGAATAGTTTCGGCAGCAATAGTCAACATGGCGGAATAATGGCTGACGAAAATGATGCGACGAGTGGGTGACACAGCAGCCTCAATAACCCCAACAATGTTCGGAATCGACAAACAGTTGAACAGGGGCCACATGGCAAAGTTCTGGAACCCTGTGGGGGATGACGGGAATTGGTAGCACAACGCATAGTCCTTCATGTCAATGCGAACAAGGTCGTTAAGGCGAGGCGCGGGGAAGCTGAGGATTCGGGACACCTCCTCGGCGTGGAACAAGTTTGTGGCCTTGTTCCAGTGAATCCACATGCCTCGAAGGTAATCACCCAACAGGTCGTACAACGGATATCTCGACAGAAAGCTCAAGCAATATGGGATCCAGTAGGTCTCCTCCGGGTTATCGTAGAAGTCTGGCTCGGTCTTTTTGCGCAGCTCACGAATGGTCTCTGCACGCTTCTCATCGGCCCTTGACCACACCCGCAGAGCGATACCGTAGAGAGTGTGGGAGGAGTCTTGCTGCAGAACGAAAGCATGGTGTACACAATGGGGCTGGGTCTTGCCCGTGCAGATCTCAACGTCGTGGGGGAAGCATGCCTATTTGTTACTCGTCAGCCAGCTTGTCCTTGCGGCGAAGTTTCACCTTGAAAATTTTATCGGTTACACACCCTCATTGCCGAGTGCAACGACTTAGCAATCTCATTATCCTGTTCCAACCG